ACTAAAAGGTAAGTAAAGTAAAGATCCTTGTTCACGCCTCTATTCGCAACAAGCATATGGGAAGACCACCCATATTTTTACAGATCAATCGGCACTAGGTGAGTAATGTGGTCAATATTACGCCGGCCTTCTTTATTTTCCCAAGACACACATACTGGTAACTATTTTAGGCTTGGTCGACCTGCGACACCCCATACCATGATAAAAATCCACGTAAACAGCAGTAGGTATTGATCTCGGTACGTTGGAATTACAAGTCGGACTCGCAACGCTTAAGCTATGGACGCCGTCTCACTGAAAAGGGAAACTGATCATAACTCACCAGGTTCAAGTCACTCACCGAATAATCGGCCGTTTTAGAAAAGACATCAAATGTTCTATAGTTAACAAGATACACCGCTTTTGAATTCACTGTCATGCTGAAAACAGACACGGTACAACATTGCAGCACTGACTTCCAGGCATTTATTTTAAGTGACCTAATACATCAAATGTGTCCCCCATGTTGGTTCCAATGCCCCATTTTGGGACAGCAAGAATAAACACTGCCTCCCCATGTCGTAAAAGAGTAATTGGGAGCTTCCTTCGAAGTCGAAGGGCATCTACCAGTGAGGCAAGAAACCAAGAACTCGCACACAATTAAGTCAGATCTGTAAAGCAAATGTGCACGCAATAAGAAAAAGAAGGCGAAGAAGAAGAGATTAAGTATTTTCCATATCCTCAGTTCTTTTCGATACGCATGTAAACTCTTTATTTCTTTAGAATTCAAATTGATCTTATGAATATTTTTTTTTAAATCCTCCTATACAGCCGTACATAGAAAAATGAATATATTCACACACACAGACACACACAGAGATATATACACAAACTACTGCGTTGCTAATTTACAGCTTTATTTATTCATTTCCCCAAGCTTAAATATTTGAGCCATATTAAACATCCTGGTGGTCGGGAAAGAATTGTGACAGACAGTACAATTTTTGGAAAACAAGGCATGGGAAGACTTCCGCAAGGGTGGATAAAGACATTGAACATGCACTGGCTATTAACGCATATAGAACTGAAGAACTGGCTAGAGAAAAATAAACTTTGAGATTTGCGGTGACGAGAGCGACGTTCTCTAAAAGATCTGCTTATTGATGATGGTTTTTTCCATTACCATCATAATGTGTATCATGTTTTTGTTCACAACAGAAAGCTATTCAGTTATCCCAAGTATTACAGTTATCGCAGGAGCGGACTGATACCACCAAATGCTGGTAAAGTAAAAGTAAAGATCCCTTTTCACACCTTTTCACGCATCTGGCATATGGGAAAAGCACCCATGTTTTCACAGATCAATCGGCACTAGGTAGGTAATGTTGTCAGCATTACGCCGGCCGTCTTTACCTCCCCAGGACAGCCATCCTGGTACCCATTTTATGCGACGTCGTATAAGTAAAGTAAAAAAGTAAAGTTCCCTTTTCACGCCTTTCGGCGCATCGGGCATATGGGCAGAGCGTCCCATATTTTTACAGACCATCAGCACTCTGTGAGTAATGTGGTCAGCATTACGCCGGCTGTCTTTACTTTCCCAGGACAGCCCATCCTGGTACCCATTTTAGGCTGGGTCGACCTGCGACGTCCCATATACCCCGACAAAAATCCACGCAGCCTGCAGTGGGTTTCGATCGCGGTATGCTGGCTTACGAGTCGGACTCCGTCGCATACCATGATGAAATTCCCAGCAGCCAGTAGTGGGTTTCGATAACGGTACGTTGGAATTACTAGTCGGACTCGCAACGCCTAATCCACGGACGACGCTCACCAAATGCTAACACTTTCAATTGTTGTAAAGTTACCGACTGTTCTTTTATAACCTACTCGCATACAAAAGATATCTAGGCTCATGCTGCCATTCACATCCTCCAATAAGAGTAAGGTGGTTTATGTTTTATAGTCTTAAAGCATAAATCCAAGTGTATAGATGCGCTTTCACAATGAACACGTAGTGCTAGACTCATGGTTCATAGATCAATTGTCAGTCGCTGGGTGATGATCAGTGTCACACCAGTCGCCCTAACTTCCCAGGGTATGTCCTAAAAGCTGTTTTTGGGTGAGTGGACATGGAAGCCCATATCAATTATAATTGTGAGCCCGGCTCTCTAGCGTAGTTGGCTAAACCGGATAGTGCGGAGACCGGGTGACGAACTCCTTGTGGTCCGGGTTCAATCCCGGGAGTAGGCAGGAAAGCCACAATTTCTCCCAGATTTACAGTATTTATAATGGAATTAAGGCCGAAATGTTGCGATATCCATAATAGCGAGCCTAAGGGTTAACAGCTTATGGCTTCTGGATACTAAAACAAACAAACAAACATTATAATTGGGAAAATCTGCATTCAGGGGGATTTTGAACCCAATACATTCGGGCTGGCACAACTCCTAAAACATCTATTATTTCTTAATTTCACAAATAAATGTATACAAATTATCTCAGTTTATGTTAATACAGTTTGCCCCATAAAAACAAATTTCCGGCTACTGATAATACGGATCCTTCAGATTTCCGGCATGGCTGTCGCATAGCATTTTCAAATGAAAGATTCTCAGGAACTATTTTATTCAGTTAAAGTAAAATTCTGCGGAACTGTGTTATTTAGTTTGTGAACATAACCAGTTCGTTTACTATTAATTCAGCATTTTTATTTCTTCTTTCTTTAAACGACTGTATAGGCCTTTAATAATCATTTTTGTAAATCCTGCATTTAAAAAAATCTGCCCTCTTTAGGTCCCGAGGTTGCTGAATTTGTTAACATCAACCTTTAAATATATCGGCTTTCTTCGTTCCGCATTTGTATCCAAACAAAAAGATCAAGATCAATAACTATATTTTCAAATAATTCTACTTTAATACAATGTGTTTCTTAGGCAGAACTAAAATGTCCAAACAACAGTTTTGTTCTCACTATGTGACTTTTCTCTTTCTTGAAGTTCCAGAGTTATTTATGTTCGTATCTGCACCCAGAGGCATTCTTGTACCAAACAGTAAAACGGAGATCAGTTATAATGAAACAAGTGTAGAAAAAGAAGTTTAAGATATACATATCCCAGTTACTTAGACTTGCTCTAGTCACTCATCTATTATAATCATGTATTGACAAGGCTGTATTGCCCAAGGTGACATATCTGTCAAGCTACTGTGTACCCCCTGCCCCTTCTCAAGCCTTCGCACCCAGGTTACACACTTACACTTGGTTACACGTACCAGCAGTCGCCTTGATTTTCTCTCTTGGAGCATGGACATTGATTAACTCAATGACCCTACTATTCTACTGAGTTAAGAGTTTGTACCCGAAGTGTGCACGAGTGGAACCTAACCACTGCACATAAATGCCTCCTAATAAGATCCACATTCGGTAGTACTTGACTTTGTATGAACTGAGAATGACATACTCAGGTAAAACAGAAGTACTTCCATAATCGAATTTGCATTCAATTCTGTATTTGTTACTTTCTGTGGCATTTTCAAGTGCATCCTAGAGAGACGGGCTGGTTATCAAAAAGGGTCCTCATAAAATTGATTGTCGCTGACGTGTATCTAAGTGAAATAATTTGATTCCATGATTCTATTCTGCACTGTGATTTAAGTCTTCTTTCTGTTTCTATCTGGCAGAGATTTATATTTAAGCTCTGTTGGTCTGGTAGATTTAAGTTCTAAAACCAGTTCAAAGCTTTAATTTTAACCTATTAGTGAATCCCTTGAAGAACGTCACGACTGAACCACGTCATTTGTTAGTTTTTTGTTGCTCTACTACAAAATTTACGTTGAATAGTTCGCCATTGCTTTTTTGAACTGTTCGACATACCTTCTGTTGAAGACATCAGCGCAATACACACATCTCAGACATAAGTGAGACAAAAAACTGTTTATTGCTTTGCAAACAGAACGCACTGGTTTACTGACAATGCTAGTAATGGGGTATATTATCGAACAAGTTTCATTTTTGATAATAAAAACAGAGATTCGGGTATATTATGTTTATCTATGTAGCCCATTAAAAGTGCTGGTTGCAAATACACTTTGTCTGCACTATCCAGTGATCCTAAATCAAGCAATTATACATTGGATTGAACCAGTTGCTGCAATAATTTCCTGCTGTCCGTGTAGTTCAACAAAATAATGTCAGTGATATCAATATTTTGTAAGCGTTATGATTGTATTTAAGTGGCTTCAAACCCTGTAACCGTAAAAGCCGACAGATTGAACTGATTGATTTTATATTGGTTGGGGGGGGGGAGAAAGGGGGGGGGGGCATTTTAGGTTACAATTAAAGTACGTGTTAGGTTTCAGGTAATGTTTTATACTAATACAACTAACAGTATTTCCGGAAATGCAAAGCTATTTAGAATATATCTAATAGCCCACACGAGAAGGTTAGTTCAGCAGTTATGAAATCATTTAACAGTAATGGCACTGACTAAAACGTTACCCAGTCGATATGTATAAAATACAAAGTACATTTTAGAGACACAAACAAAAAAACCACAACCGACAGCATGAATGTGTTCAAATGTTATTATCCAAGTGTTATTTCTCTGCTTTAAGTGCGCGTGTGCAAAGGGTAATAATATTAGTGGGGATTGTTTCCGAATATAGAGAAAACAGACTAATAGTTGCACATACTAACTGAATGGTTGATAATAGACTATTTTTCACTCTGAAAATAACATATTGTTAGACATAATTTACCATTAAGGTTGTTTTTTTTTTTTTTACATCGCGCCTGTCCTAATTATTACAACACTAATTTTTTTTTTGATGATGGTTTACATAAAGTGGCAAATGAAACTCAAAATATTTATAGCTGTTATGTAGTTTCAGCAAGCAGTTTTTCACTTCAATTTATTTACAACACTAGATCAGTATCCAGTGGTCAACATTATAAAGTATTCACTCTGACAACTACTACTTCTTTACTAAAATGTGATGCGATAATTTCACTGATACCGTCTACAATGAGCAATTTTATTAATGGCACACAGATGCTCGTGGACCTGGTCACTGACAAACATTATATTATTATTATTGAATGCACCTCAGATATCGGGACCATTTTTGCTTTCTTGGGCGTTATCTCCAATATCATCATTAGAACATTTATTGCTATGGGTTTAAGCGACGGTGTTACTGTTTCCTTCCTCGCTTTGGCCATCTTTGATTTGACCTATCTGATTGCCTCATTGAGTCTTGGAGTGGCTGTTGTGTTTTACGTAATAGAGATGAGAACGAAAATTCGATTTAAGATAGAACCATATGGCGTGTGCCTGTTTTTCGGTAGTTGTATGATATTCATTAACCTGACAAATGTTCTGGCTACAACTTTCCTCGCAGTTGCCCGTTGTATGTGTGTGTCCAGACCTCTCCAGTTCAAGAACACGTTTACCAGAAAAAGAGCCATTTATTTTATGATAACATTTGCCATATTTTCTATTATCATCTACTTACCGATTCTGGTCAATATGGGGATGGTGCAAAGATTTGACTCGAGGACCAACACATCAAGGCCGTCTTTGTGGATCTCCCCAAAGAGAGAGTTCATTAAAGAGATTGTCTGGCTGGTTATCGACATGGTGTTGCCAGTAGCAACCCAGCTAATTATTCTTGTGTGTGTAGTCATCATGGTCAACAGTCTTCAAGAAGCGTCCAGATTTCGGCAGTCGACAGCATCCATCTCACTGAAGCCATTTACCCACCAAGACAGAAATAAGAGTTTAAGCAGAAAAGTAAAGATGCCAAAAGGTTATGATTCTAACAACGTAATCGAAAAGCTAACAGGAAAGGATCTTTTAGTGGTCCAGCAGGTAGTCCTTATTTCCGTGGTGTATATCGTGTGCAACACTCCAAAAATCCTCATAAGTATTGCCACATCTATTGAGCCAGAATTCACTATAGGAAAGACATACTCAAAATTATACATGTGTGCCAATGGCCTTAGAAAGCATTTTGAAATCTTGAATGCTGCTGTTAATCTGATTATCTACTATAAATACAACACTAAATTTAGAGCAATGATGCGTAGATCGTTTTCATGCAAAGTAAATATAAAATAAAAGCGTATTGAAACAATCGGTAGGCAGGCCAAACAATTTCTGGAGGCCTCAGAGATGTGGTTTTACAGAAGAATGCTTAGAATACCTTGGACAGCCAAAAAGAGCAATCAAGAGGTTTTGAAAGAGGCGGGAGCCCGAAGACAACTTATCACAGACATCAGAAGGAGACAGTCATCATTTTTCGGCCATGTTATGAGAAGAGGGAAAATAGAACATGTTGTGACCACTGGAAAGATATGTGGAAGGAGAGATAGAGCAAGACAACGAGAGAAGATGCTTGACAGTCTTGTTGCATGGCATGGAGGTGTGTCGGCACACGAACTGATACATGCTGCAGGAGATCGTAGATTATAGAGTGGCATTATCGCCCACGCTAGTCAGGCACCAGATGATGATGATGATATTACAGAAATATGGCATCTGCAATGGAATTACCGCTGTGTGCATTTCGCCCCTTTGAAACTAAATTATTCGTGCTTTTGTTTTTAAATCATGGCTATTTCTTCACTTGGCATCTCACGTGAGACAGTCTGGTGCTGAACGAAATAAATATTTGAGAACCGCTCGTCTATATATATTTCAACCTAAACTCTCCAAGAAATTCGCTACACAGACACTTTATTGCTTACCCTAGCGTGTCTTATTGCTTTCAAACGGTGTTTATTTCTGTAAATCACGTCGTCCTACGTAATTATTGTTGTTTTTCCCTTCACCGGTGTCGTCTGGTACATACCATTCTTAGCTGCCTCTGTTAAAAGCACGCGGGAAATGAACTGTTCATGGATATACAAAAGTAAACACAGTTGAAACGGGAATAAATGATGTTGCTTTTTGGCATCATACATTGTTGATGATATTTCTTTTGTGTCCCACTCTTCTCTAACAGTCACATTAACAGAATCTCATTACTGTTGAAAAAGTTTTTTTTTTTACACGTAAGATTTGAGTTTGTTATTCTGTCAAGTTCATAAAGTCGAGCGGACTCACAGTAGATTGTTTTATTGTATTCTTATTGTAGATATACCCTACAGATGACTCACAGTAGATTGTTTTATTGTATTCTTATTGTAGATATACCCTACAGATGATTCACGGTAGATTGTTTTATTGTATTCTTCTTGTCGATATACGCAACAGATGATTGACAGTAGATTGTTTTATTGTATTCTTATTGTAGATATACCCTACAGATGACTCACGGTAGATTGTTTTATTGTATTCTTATTGTAGATATACCCTACAGATGATTCACAGTAGATTGTTTTATTGTATTCTTATTGTAGATATACCCTACAGATGATTCACAGTAGATTGTTTTATTGTATTCTTATTGTAGATATACCCTACAGATGATTGACAGTAGATTGTTTTATTGTATTTTTATTGTCGATTAACGCCACAGATGATTGACAGTAAATTGTTGTATTGTATTTTTCTTGTTGATATACACAACAGATGATTCACAATTGATTCTTTTATTGTATTCTTATTGTAGATATACACTACAGATGACTCACGGTAGATTGTTTTATTGTATTCTTCTTGTTGATATACGCAACCGATGACTCATATTAGATTGTTTTATCTTATTCTTCTTGTTGATATACGCAACCGATGACTCATATTAGATTGTTTTATCTTATTCTTCTCGTTGATATACGCCACAGATGACGCACGGTAGATTGTTTTACTGTATTATTCTCGTTGATATACACAACAGATGACTCACGGTACATTGTAGGATTCCCTTTTTTTTGTTAAGAAAAGATATAAAGCCGAAAGGAAAGTATATCAGCAAGCTTCACAATTTAACAAACACAAACAAAATATGATCATTGCTGCTACAGAGCCTTAAATGCGAACGTTTCGGCTATAGATCCTTTGTCAGCACATACATAAATAAACCATACCACACAAATACACAAAATCTTTTAGTATAGTATCTCGAACCAGCAGGGCAGATGTCTTGCCAGTAGACTGGCGAGAATAATGGGACAGGATAGTACAAATTTCCCCGAGGAATACCAGGAGCCGTAACTGGAGGGTGTGGTTTAAAACTGTGTGGGCAGTTGATTTCACTAGGATTTTAGATTAGACTGCGTTGGCAGTTCAGTTTCAGTCCTAAGGTGATAACGTGCCCAATGTGAAACTAAAGTGATTTTCAAGAGACTTGGGAATTATTCTTTTTGTCGATATACGACACAGAGGACTCATTTAACACTATTCGATTTATCTCTTCTTGCTGATATATGTTACATATGACTCTAGTAGATTTATCGATTATCTTGATCTTGTCGATATACGTCATAAAAGACTCACAGTATATCGATCGATTCTCCTGTTCTTGTCTATATACGTCATAAAGGATTCACAGAACATTGTTCGATTCTCCTGTTCTTGTCGATATAAGTCATAATCGATTCACAGAACACTGTTTGATTCTCCTGTTCTTGTCTATATACGTCATAAACGATTCACAGAACATTGTTCGATTCTCCTGTTCTTGTCGATATACGTCATAAACGAGTCACAGAACATTGTTCTTCTTCTTCTTTCGTTCGCCTGAAATAAGTTGTCTATATCAGCACTTTTGTCTCTTGTATAAAATTCACTGTTGTTGTTAATTCATTCAGTGGTCCATAGAGTTTACATTCCACTGTTGTTCTTTCTGGCCAAAATGTTTGCCTTAATGTGTCAAATTCGGTGCAGTCCTAGAGTACATGCTCTGCTGTCTGGGGCACCATTGTTCGATTCTCCTGTTCTTGTCGATATACATCATTAGGAACCCACAGTACATTGATTGATTATTCTGTTCGTCTTCGAGTTCACCGGCTAGCAAACTTTGGCTATTCGTCCACTTCTGGCTTTAAGCATTTTTTCCAGAACTTGAATTCTGCGTGCAAATCCTTCTACAGGTGTGGCTTACTTTCATGCAGACTGTTGGTTTCTCATCTTTCCGGCAGAAGATTCTCTTTTTCTCAGTCACATTATTAACTGTCTAACATACTCCGTCACTCACTCACTCACTCACTAGCCCACGTGTTTACTCATTTATTCGCTCACTTATTTACTCATTCATTCATTCACTAATTTACTCATTCACTCGCTCGCTCACTCACTTATTTACTCACTAACTGAGTCTCTTTCTCTCTCAATAACCAATTTATTCACTTACACATCCACTCCATGATTTACTTACCTAATACTTGCTCAGTTAGTCATTCACTCACTCGCTCGCTCCTTCAGTCACTCACTCACATATTTACTCCCTCACTCGCTCACTCATGTGTTTACACATCCATCATTCACTCACTTTTTCACCCACTGACCTACTCACTTAACCGCGTATTTACTCATTGACTTACATTCATTGTGATCTTGTCGGAATACACTTATCTCCCTTACATAATCACGACCTACTGTCTGTATTTATGTAATCATTTACTAAGTCACAATGACCTACTTAATCAGCTCGTCGCCATATTTAAATTTCAGCTCGGAAGAAAGTACAAACGTCGCCATGTTCACGGATTTCTGGGGCAGAAAATTGCGAAATAGAAAATAATCCGCGTCTTCAACAAGATAATTCTTCACACACACACAAAAACACACACGCGCACACACAAACACACACACACATAAAAATGAAAAAGGAGATTTAACAAATATCTGTTAATATGTCCAGCAAGCGGAGACAGAAGTCTGTTCATTATTTTGTTTCGTGTTTTTCGTTTTTCCTATTTTACATTTGAACAATTGGAATCACTATTTGCATTAATCATTGGCCGGAAAAATGAACTAGGTATTATTTGTAAGCGATTTAGCCTCTTCTGTGCTGAAAGTGGTGGGGAGGGGAATCGGATGCACACTACAAGATCACTTAAATATCAAAGCTTAACGTGCAAAAGAAATACTTTGAAAATAAATGAAACTAAAGGGAACGAGAGTAGGAAATTTTTTTTTTTCAAAAGTTTAACAAATGGAACACGCAGGCCTTCTCTTACATTCGACCCTCCCAAACAATCATCTTTCCCACCACAGTTGTATTTTATTTTAAAAAATGATTTCATGTCTATATATAAGTATACATAAAAAAATATTATGTTTAAAAAAAAACACACACACAAAACGACAGATGACAAATGTGTGCATGCAAACACAAACAAACACACACACGCACACACACACACAGAATACATACACTCACACGTGCTTACTTACTCACATGCATTCATCTCCATACATAGGCTTACATACATAACTATCAAACCGTAAGTGCAGGCTAGAACAATTCTTAATCCGCTACAGACATGGTTAAACGGTTCTTGTAGGAAGTAAGTTAAAGATCTTAACTATATAGGAATGTATTCTTGTAGAACGACAAAATAGATCGACAACTGTGCATAAACAACCAAAGGCCCACTGGTGTACTGACGCCATTATTAAAACGTTCAAACATCAAAATGATCGATAAGAAACAGATTTGAAACAACATATTCAAACTGCTGCAGGTGACTGACTCGGACATAAGCAGAGGATAACATACGCAACATGTTACACAAGACGCCTGACGAAAAGGGACAGTTAAACAAGCAGAGACCAAATAAGAGATGATACCATCAGACAATAACGTGCATCAAATGTATCGACAATGTAGATCATATAGTTTGGTCATCTCTACAAATGC